CCCCCCACCCCGCCTTGGCTCCTAGAGGGATACAGCCCGGCCCCGCCGCCTTTGGTGTTCGGCCACGCTCTGCTGTAGTCACCTGTCTGCGGGAAATCGACGGGAGGAAGTGAGTGACTGTTGTGCGCGTGCCCCTTGGTTTGAAAAAAACACCGCTTGACGGCGAGCTTCATGGTGTCGATTCATACTTCGTGCGGTGACGTCGGAGAAGAAGAGTAAAGAGGACAAGGAAAATAGCAGGCGGAACAGGTGCGAGTGCTGCACGCCACCCGGTTGGTCATGTCTTTTCGATGGGTTTTTCTAGGCTTTCCCAGCGCATTGGCCGCGGTTACGTTCCCAAAAGCCGATCGAACCGTGGAGTGGACTACCGTATATGACACAAGATAACACACCCCCTTGACCGATTTTCGAAGCTCGGTTTCTCAACTGCAGCAACAGTAACAACGCCGGAAACGACGGCGTTGAAACCGTCTCGTTCATAGCTTTTCGAAAATGTATCATTTCGTTTGTGCATCCTCTTCGTCGTGGAGTAATCGAGATTTGAAAATCCGTCCAGGGGGTGTGTTATCTTGTGTCATATACGGTAACCAAGTTTCGGCAGTCCAACCCGCCGGCGCGACTGTCCCTCCACACCTGCCATGCTCACTAACTGCGGTCGCACGTGCGTGCACACGAATTCAACCCCGAGGCAAAAGAGAATGTATCTACGTAGTTCGAAGTGGTTGTCATGGAGCAACGTGTCTACATTGCGAGTGCGGTCAATCCCGCTACGACTGAGGATCACACAGAAAACTATAAATAGACTATTAATAATAGTATATTGCGCCTCGTTCGGCCTGGTTCCTGCAGAACGCACCGCCACGACTCTCAAGGGTCGCGGCTTGTTATCGTTGCCGTGTCTCGGCGATAAGCGTCTCAGCAGCAGCAGCAGCGGGTGTGTGCTGTGTGCCGCGGTGGCTTCGTAGGCTGTGGTTGTACAGCAGCCTACACAGAGGTCGCACTTCGAGTGCGGGTGTAACTTGATGTGTGCCTCGGAACGAAGAAGCAAAAAAAGATGTTTGATCACTGACTGACTCCCGGGTCAGGCTTGGATGGTGCTTATGTGGAGTGAGCTCAAAGGCGGGTGCGCTCTTGTGTTTTCATCTCGAAAACAAAAAACAAAATCACACAAGCCGTCAACGCAGGGTTCTCCCGAGATCTACTCGCCGCACTGGTCTTTCCGGGTCTGTTCGGACAAACCCAAAAGTTTCGCCGCAAATATTCCGACAGTCTCTCTGATGTACTTACGCATAGAAAATATTTCGACAGTCTCTCTGACGTACTCAGAGTATCCCTGCTCGACTTCTACGTGCAAGCTTCTACTACTGCTGCGTATCTAGGACAAGCGTCCTCAACTCTCAACTCTCTACCTATCATCCCTAAATAGACTACACGTGTCCAACACACAAAAGCGCAAATGCACAACATACGCATCACACAGACAGAGACGTCTTGTGGTGTTGCTGGAATCGACTACAGATCGACATGCGTGACTCATGATGCTACTGGTAGTAGTCTATGAAGGTATCAAGCAATGATGCATATCTCCGACACAACCCCTCGATCAAGAAACACGGCAAACGGTGCAGCTCCAAGACCAACTATCAAGGGTCAACAAACGATTGACTATGCTGATAGTAGTGCTTTGACAAACTAACGCGAAGGGGCTGGCGGCCGATGTCGTCACAAACTTGTCTTCTTCCTGTCAGCGCGTGGCGAGTTTTCGTGTGTTGCTACTTGCTGCTTCGAATCTCATATCATGCATATATAGTTGACTACACTGCCCACACACACAACTTTCACGGGATAGGTACCACCCTCCCATGCCACGTATCAATCATACATACCATGCGGGAACGGTAAACTTCTCTATGCAAGCCGTCTGCTCGGCGAACAGTTGTTTCTGCTTGCCATATGAACCTATTTTCATTGCTCGGGTGGTGATGCACACTCAGCAGCGAGCAAACTTATAAGCGACTCACCATCAGCGGACAAACGAAACAACAGACGGGACCTGACATTGTTCAACCAAGAAGATTCATCGCCGAGTTCAAGCCCGTCGCTGGACATGTGCTTGGTGATTCCCGCGTCGTTCTTGTGCTTGGCGCGCCTGGCGATGATGGTTGCCCTGATGCGGGTGGCCGTCTCGAAGTCGAAGCGGCCGTCGCAGTCTTAGTTGTGGGCAATTGCCTTAATCCACGAGGCCAAAAAGAAGTTCCATTTTGCGTTTTGAAGACGAAGTCTATCTGGCCAACGTCAATAAAGCTCTTCATGCTGGACGTTGGCCAGATAGACTTCGTCTTGAAAGACGCAACATGGAAGCTGCTCGTGGCCCCGTGGGTTAAGGAACGTGCCCACAGCGAAGACTGCGACGGCCGCTTCGACTTCGAGACGAACACATACAAGGAAGCCATCAACTCGCCGCGTGCGCCACGGTGGAACGTAGCTACCGCAAAGGAGGTGGACAGCCTGGCGAAACACAAGGACTACAAGCTGGTCCCCATCACCAGCCTTCCTAAGATAGATAAGATCCTCGGTACAAGGTTCGTCTTCAAACAGAAAGCCGACGGAAAGTTCAAGCTCAGGCTGGTGGTTCAAGGCCACGTGCAGGAGTCCGGCATCGACTACGGGAGGAGCTACGCACCGGTTTGCCGCATCGGGAGCGTTCGCACCTTACTCGCTATAGCATGCGAACAAGGATGGCCGGTATATCAGATGGACGTCGCCGTGGCGTTGCTGCAGCCTGCGATTGACAAAGACGTCTGGGCCAAGCACGCCCCAGGACAAGACACGAAGCATCCCGGGACCGGGGACATCANCCGGTATATCAGATGGACGTCGCCGTGGCGTTGCTGCAGCCTGCGATTGACAAAGACGTCTGGGCCAAGCACGCCCCAGGACAAGACACGAAGCATCCCGGGACCGGGGACATCACGATGTACAAGCTCGAACGCAGTCTTTATGGGCTTTCACAGTCGACAGAGCTCTGGTTCGACACCATGGGAGACGTGCTGGTGGTGATCGGATTCATGCCCACACAAACCGACCCCTGCGTATTTATTCATATACGGAAGCGGCGACACTCTCGTCATCTTGACGCTGTATGTCGACGACATCCTCATAGCGGAAAGGATCCCGAGCTCGTAGCTGGCCTTAAGAAATTACTCCATGACCGCTTCGAAATGACGGACCATGAGGAAAGTCAGCGCTGACTTGTAGCATTGTGGAGATGCGTACACCGTAACATCGTGAATGAAGGGAGGGGGTGTAACCCAACGTGAGTGCTTGGAGAAAAGGGGGGGGGTGTTATTTCAAGCAACACCTCTTCGCGGCGGCGTCAGCACTGCTGTATCTACGCGGAGGCTTTTTGTGTATGGTTGCGTGCGTCTGTGATCTGGCGAATGATGAGCGAAGCTCCAGCTGCAAAATGCGGGCAGCAGGACTGGCTCACATGCTCTGCTTGCAGCATCCACGCGATGACACACCGTAGTCGCTTCACGATTCAAAAATTCAAAAGGGAAGTTCTTGTCGGCAAGCAAATACCAGATGTGCTGTTTGTTGTCTAACTCCACCGCTGTGTCACGTCCCCTCTTGGTCGGGAGTGGAGCCATAGGGGTGAAGAAATGAAGCCGTAGCTGTCATCATGCTGCCTACTGCCAACGGTCGGCGTGGCGACTCTGTATGTACAGCAGTCGGAGCTGTGTCGCAAAACGCATGTGAGAGCCGTGGCCGGGCTGGTACTGCCGATCATCGAACAGGTGTTCTTCGGTGCATTTTGGTGCGTCTCTCTTGAGAGTAGGTGCTCTGCCTATTTGGATTCATATCTGGTCTATCTACCTGCCCAAGACGACATCCTTGCTAGCTGGAGACCTTGCGCTCAAGAAAAGCCTCGCAGCAGCATTACCAACTTGCGATCAGGAC